ATCTTTCTCAGTCTCTCCCCAACCCTGTTGTCAAGTCCTGTTTTACAGCAGTGGCACCATGCAGTATTTGTCCCTTTGTGTCTGAGATATTTCACTCAGCATAATGTCCTCCAGGGTCACCCATTTTGAATAATATTGCATGAGTTCCTTGTTTTTCAACGCAGCGTAGTATTTCATTGTGTGAATATACCACAGCTTCTCTGTCCATTCATTTGTTGATGGGTACTTAGGTTGTTTCCAACTTCTTGCTATTGTGAACAAAGCCACGATAAACATGGGTGTGCATATATCTGCTTGGATATCAGTTATGGTCTCTTTGGGATGTATTTCCAGTAGTGGAATTGCTAAGTCAAATGGTATCTCTATTTCCAACTTTTTGAGAACGTGCCATACCGCCTTTCACAGTGGTTGCACCATTTTACACTTCCACCAACAGTGAATAAGGGTTCCAGTTTCTCCACAACCTCGCCAGCATTTGTTGCTTGCTGTTCTGTTAAATTCTGCTATTCTTACTGGGGTGAGATGATATCTCATAGTTGTTTTAAGGAAGGTGAAAATTTGCTTGTCATCCGTCTCATAGGAACCAGCTTGATGCTGATACTGATTCTTATCCCACATAATTTAGACAATTCATTGTTATTTTATGTACACTTGAAAAAAGAAAAGTCAAGTGATGGAAGTATAGCATGTGAAAGGGAGTGCGGAGAGAAATACCAGAAAAAAAATATCTTAAAGTACAGCTCTGAATAGGCATTGGGAAATTTGAAGTCTGAATCAATCACTGCAAAATATAGCTTCCAACTCTAATTTAGAAAAAAAATTGTTTATTTGAATGTCGCAGAAGTTTTCAATAAAAGAAGAGGTTATGATTGTGTTCATACAAATAGAATTTTTTAAATTAATGCATGTTTTTTTTAGAATTAAATTTTTAATGGCTGGTTAATTATATCACTACATTTTTATTGCAATATAGTACTCATTTAAGCACTTAAAAACGGAAGGTGTACAAAGATTAAATTAAGACACAGTAAATTGACTAAATATTTGGTTTTTATAAAAATAAAGGTCATAACCACACTGTTGACATGTAATACTGTTATGATACAACAGTTAAACTTGTGAGTCTACAACAGAAGTCGGCTGTAGTTAAACAGGAAACAAAGTTGAAAAAGACCATATTAAAACAAAACTACTGGGACTAACAGGTTGGGATTGTAAGTAGCAACAAACATATTCACTCAGCTCCTGAGTATTTCAAGTTTTACAGTACACATTAAAAATGATTTCTTCAATCAACACCATAAATGCAAACTGTCAGATGTTTATGCATTTTGCAAGTTACACTGATTGATGCTGATATGGGAGTGGGGGTCGGAACATCTCCCAGTTTGAAATTTATGTCACTCACATGCTAACACAAACACAACTTGTTCCATTTCCACACCCCTGGTTCCCCCCACAAAGAAGGCAGGATTTTTTGGTTTCTTTTAGGTAATTGTTTTAAAGGATTTGTGATGATCAATTTGAACGTCTGAAATTCAGTAATAAATTAATGCATGTTTTAATGAGTGCGTTCTAGTGGCCTAGTAGTAAGAAGTTGTGCCATAATCCCAAAGGCATGGAGTTTGAATCCACTGATCCTCCAGCAGAGGTGGATGGGCAATCTCCTCCTCTGTGATTTACAGCCTCAGAAACCCTTCTAGAGGGTCAGCTGTGTGTCGGTTCCAACTGGATTGTAAACAACAACAACAACAACAACAAAATTCAGAGAAATACTTGTTTTCAATGCATGATTGACATGTGCTGGAATGCCTTCCAGTTCGAGATTTTAGTTTATCTTTTTTAAAACAAAAATTGCTTGAAAAATATTTTATTCATTAAAGTACAATAATTTAAAATTAAAAGAATATTTTAAAATAAAATATGCCTATCTAGGAATTTGTACTTTGCTTTATAAATATTTTTTACTGACAATTTGTTACATCTACATGGACTATATAGTAATGTATTCTAGTATTTTATAATACATTGTGTGGTATGTAATTTCTATGATATTAACCATCAATAGTTATTTATTCCAGTAGATTGCTATATTTATCTTAAGCAATATCCTTTTTTCATGTCTAGTAAGAAATTATGGTGACTTTAGAAGTAATAGATTACAGTATATTTTTTTGCATCAGCAGAAAAGCTTTTTATCTTGAGAATTTTTTAAAATCACATTTAATACGTAGATTGGAAAGATTAGATGAATAAAATGAAAATGTATTGTTCATTTACTAAATATTAAAATATTTAATAAAAATTTCATGCTTGACTTCCATCCTGGCACAAAAGAGAAATCTCTTTAGGCAACTTCTAGAACTATCCTTATAATAGAAACTAGCAGAATATAGAATCTGCTAGTATAATTAATTCTTTCAGCAATTCTGTTTTTCTGATTGCTAATTAACCATTGTCATAACTTTGTAAAATTGAAAAACTGCAGTTCAGAAATAAGTATTTAATATGATTAAGAGCTTTAATTAAAAAAACCTCAGTATGAATAAAATTTAAATATTTGATTATAAAATATTTCTGAATTCTCACATTGGGTTAAAAGATGTTTCAAAATATGCATACATTGAATACAGATACTCAATAGTGCTATTAATCGAATGACTCTTGTAGAATTAAAATGAAATATATTTTTGAATCTTGGAACATAAAATCTACTATAGTAGAGGAAGAGCAGACATACAAGTTTGCATGACTATGTATTCTAATTTGAATTTTTGTTGAAGATACTGTGACATATAGGATACAGTTTGTTTTCATCACCTAATTCCAAAAATGACAAAAGAAATCAGTATTTTTTGTTTTATCTTGAGAATTCTTTTTAATGTACAGATTATATCCTACATCAAACTGAAATAAATCTACATCTTTTAAAAGCTTATACCATGCTAAAAACTGAATCATTTCAGCCTTTGACTTGATATATTTTTATTTCTAGTGGCATTGTTGGAAATAGTGCAACCACCTTGCTGACTACCATTGAAGAAATGCATTTGCTGAGCAAAAAAATATTTTTCAATAGCTTGAGTCTCCATGCAAGTAAATTAATGGACAAGGTATGTTTAAAAAAAAAAAAAGTGCGTCTTAAACTATGTCAGTGTGAATCTTTGACATTTAAAGATGTCATACCAGTGCTTTTCATTGGTGATAATTTTTCCCTATTTGATAAAATACTCTTTAGTCATCTGAACCACAAAACTAATTTTAACACGACCTCTAATCTGTGTTCCTAAAACAGTGTAACATTGAGTCATAATTGGAGGTAGAGTCCTCTGGCCCTAATTTCTCAACCATTTTTAAATAACTAAAAACTGTGTAACTAAGGCAAATGTATATGTAGGTAGCAAGTAGGGTTATATATGTTGTTGTTAGGTGCTGTTGAGTCAGAACCGTCAGATAGCTGACCCTCCAGTGGGTTCTCAGAGGCTGTAAATCCTGTGGAAGGTGACTACCCATCTTTCTCCCATGGAGCAGCTGGTGGATTCAGGACTCCTGCCTTTAGGTTGGAAGAACAGTGCCTTGAAAATGGAAATGCTCACAGATTTTTATTTTTTAAAACAGCTTATAGTTTTACTATTGATATCCCTTGTTAAATTTGTATTTTTCTGAGTTTGAGGCTATAATTAATTATTAAAACAAAAGAGCAAAAACACTGCAAAGAAAGTCAACCGAACAACATAAATCTGAGAGTCTTGTGTAGCTTCTTTGTTAAATTGAGTAGCTTGCTGAGGGAGTCCTTGAAGGAACGGGTTACTTTGATCACATCCTTCTTTTCACTTTGTTGTTCAGGCTTTCAAGCGTGCTCTTCTACCTAATGGGCTCACAGGCAGTGTAGTATCTTATAAAACCTGTAGCACTCTGAGTATCTGGTTCATCTTCACTTTACTGAAGTCAGAGAACCCTTGAGAGAATTTTGCTTTCTGACCACTATGCACGAAACAGATGCTTCTGAAAAAACATCCTGTTACTATAGAATCTACTTTGCATGCTTTTGTTTGCACTGAAGTATACCAAAAAAATCTGTCCTTCTTCTCAAGCTGAGTTTAGATCAAGACAAGTCTTACGTAGATAGAATCCTTTTAAAATAATTAACACATGATACAAATATGGGGCAGGAACAAACATGTTAGCTGTCATACATACTTGTTGACATGTCAGGGTCTGTTGGCTTCAAGCTGTGTTGTGTGTCGTTGAGTGGAAGATGGTCATAGAAATGATTGATTAGTATAGAATTACATGTGTAGTGAAAGATGACCTGTTTTATAAAGGACACAATCTGCATGTTTTCCTTGACATAGAAAAAGAGAGGGAATTGCAGATTTAGATGGCCAAAGGAGTATGTAAAGGTCATTCTAAGTATAAAAAATGAATAATACAGTGTGCTAGAACAGAAGCGACGGGGAACCAATAAGCAGATTTATTTTGTTTCTAAAATAATCACTTGGGAAGCAAATTGGTATGTAGATAGGATGACCAGTTGGAGCCCTGTGGGGACATTACTCTTGAGGAGGTGAGATGGAAGTTTGGAACTTGGTGATTGAATATGGTGAGGTGGAAGACTGATTGATAGCCATCATTATCTAGAGTACAGAAAAGGGATCCAATCTGGGGATAAAAGTTGTGATACTCATTTGAGACAAGTTGAATGTAAATCATCGAGGAGATATCCTTTTAGACTGTGTTGCGATACGGAACTATACATCTGAGTTGAGAGAATTTTTGTGAAAGAATGACTGTTGAATCTGTGGATGTGGATGCTGTGAATGGGCATCATATTTTATAACTCATATTTTTATGCTCTAATAGAATCTTGGAAAACACCTTCCTTTAGGAAGAGAAAAGAAAGAAGCCCTTGAAGGATACTGAGAGGGAAAGATCAGAGATGGAGGAGAAAAAGAGGAATTTTGTCAAAGAGGTCAAAGAAAATAAAGTTCTCAGCCGTAGGGAATAGTCAGTAATGACCCATGCTCTATAAAGGGTTCTGGTACAGGAAAGAGCGCCTTTTCTTTTTTTTTCTTTTGTCTTTAGCCCTGTTGGAACGATTTATAACATTAAAACCACTGACTCAGTCACCACGCACACTGACCCTGTGGGGGAGCGTAGAACTACCCCTGGGGTTTGTAAGACTAGAACTCTTCATGGATTCAGATTGCCACTTATTTCTGTAGTGAAACAACTGATGCTCTCAAACCACTGATCTTTTTGGTTAGCAAAGAGCACTACTGCGTCCTCATCGAGGACAGCTGGATTCAGGGACTGGGGCTAGCGTGTGGATAAGCATATGGAGACGCATCCTTCCTGAAGCAGCACTGATTGGATAAATCTATGAGACTAAAGCCTGAAAGTAAAATTTGCTAGGGATGCACATTGTCATGTTTTATAAGGAAAGAGAAATTGGTGGTAAATAAGAATGGATTGAATGTTCTTTAATAAAGTGAAAAACTATTGATAATTTGATGAAAAGATTTGTTTACAAAACTGGTACCTTAACAGTCTAACCAGGGGGAAAGAGGGAAAATGTGAAGTTATTATGCCAGAAAAATAAAGTAGTAGTTTATAAAATGAATAATATTTAAAATGTAAAAAAAAAGTGCGAAACAGTAAGTACAGAAACGGTATTAACTTCTTAGAGGATGCCATGTGTAATCTGCTAAAGTAATCTGAATTAACAAAATAAAAAAAATCTTTTTAAGAGAATATGAATTAACAAAAAATGGATTTTAAAAGAATTAGAAAACAAACAAAAAAGAATTAGAAAACTTGAGTACAACTGAATAGAAAAGGAAAAATAGGAAAGAATGTATTATTATTATTACTAGTGCAGATTATATAAACAATTTTTTACTCATTTATAGGAACCAGACACTTCTCTCGAACACAGTAAAATATGGAAAATGTTTCAGATCCTTTTAGGTGCTATCGTGGTGACATAAAAGGCTTTTAGAGATAGTATAATAACAAAAACAGTTCAGTCACATTTGTGCCTCTCTCCTGCTTGTGGTTTTACTGCATGCACTTTGTAAGACCACCCTATGTTATTAATTCAGCTTCCCCGTTTCTTCTTTGACATGTCATAGAACAACATCAGGGAGTCTGCTAACAGTAAAACCAGAAGAGGTTTCTTGAGATGGAGAGACAGTTCAGGCCAGGAAGATGTCCAGATTCGCAGAGCGAAAGTGGCTGCCTCATGGACAATTAGGAAGAAAACTTTTTTTTTGGTCATATTTAGAGCAGAAACTTTAAAATTTCAAAAGCATAATTGACTAAATGATAATCAGTGAAGTCAAAGGTGGAGACATCTAAGAGTAGAGACCAAGCAGCCAGAGGTGGGTAAACATACATGTGGGATTACATATAACTGGTTAAGGGCACATAATGACAGGCATCCATGCTCTGTCGTTTATTATAGGTGAAAGGTCAGGTTCTTAAAATAGGTCCCATAGAAGGATACATGTTGGGTTACTCACCATAATCTACCAGTTGTTCTGTGGGAGAAAGATGAGATACTGTGCACCTGTTAAAATGAACACCCTCAGCCTTGGAAATCTGATGGAAAGTAGTGATGGGCTAGGATCAGCTTGCTGTCAGTGAGCTTGGTACTTTGGGCTTTGTTATAAGAGTTACTTTCTTAACTATATTGTTTCTGGGGGTTCATTGTAAAGTGTATCCACAGTGTTGTGCACTAAGACTCTTTGGGCACAAGCTACTGCATCTTACACCTGCTTTAATGTAGAGGAAAGAGCTTTGGAAATAGACTGTGATATCCTGTACTTACCAGACCTTGGAGGAAAGGAATGGCATCTTTAAGGTGTGTGCTTAGGTCCGCAGCAAAAGGCGGGGGAACTGCTGTTATAAAAAGTCAGCGTGTGGGTTCCAGATTTGTATCAAGACTTGAAAATGGAGTTGAGGCTTTACTTTCAGACTATTTACACACATCAAGTACCTCTGACTTTAAACTCTTACAGAATATAATGTGACTGACTGCTGAGTACAGATCAAAAAAGTCAGCGGTAGCTGGATTGCCAACTGGAATCACCAAGCTTCATCTCAGACATCAAAAGCCCTCCTTGATGTCCAGCAGTGGACATGTGTTTCCTTCAGTGTCCAGCTCTCATGTTTACTTACTTCTTTAGTTTCTCATATACAAGTTCAAATTGAAGCTGAAAAATATGAAAACAAGTCCAAAATAGGACTGTGAGTCTATCTAACTGAATTAAAAAAACCATTTTAAGGGTAAGTTTGAGGCTTTGAATATTTTTTCACTTTTTTAAACCTTAATTTTTTTTTTTAAATTTTATACTGGTTTACTTACAAAGTTTATAAAGTTCATATACATTGTCTTTCCCCTGTTCTTTCTCCATCCCTCCTCCACTCATCACATCATGCGACCCTATGATTAAGTGTCCCCCCACCTTGGATCCTCATACTTGTTCTACAACAATGGTCTTAAACAGTATTTGTCTTTATGAGACTGAGTTAGTTCCCTAAGCATAATGCTCTCAAGTCCCTCCCAAGTTAGGTAATAATTTAGAAAGTCATTGCTCCTGTGTGCTGCATAGTATTCCATTGTGTGAACGTACCATAATTTCTCGACCCATTCCATTGTGGTTGGGCATATGGGCTGTGTCCATGTTCTTGCTGTTGTGAACATTGATGCACAAGTCTCTGTCTGTGCCTCAGTTCTCATTTTCTCAGGGTATATTCTAAGCAGTGGAATAGCTGGATCGTATGGAATTTCTGTTTTCAGCTTTTTGAGGAAATGCCAAACTGCCTTCTAGAGTGGTTGTACCATTTTTACAATTACACCAACAATGTATAAGAGTTCCTATCTCTCCACATTCTCTCCAACATTTATTACTTGCTGTCCTGCTAGACTTTTCCATTGCTACTGGGGTAAAATGGTCTCATTGTGTTTTTGATTTGTATCTCTCTTATTGCCAGTTATTTGGAACATTTCTTCATGTGTCTGTTGCCATCCAAATGTCTTTCTCTGTGAAAAGTCTTTGCAAAGTCTTTTGCCCATTTTGTAATTATGTTGTCAGTCTTTTTCTGGAGG